GAATTAAGTACTGAAGAAAAACTTGAGGTAGTGAAAGAGCTCTTCCCGGAAAGACCATTGCCGTCCTTCGAAAAACCTGAAGTTGAGGATGAAATCCAACCTTTCACCAAAGGCGAGTTAGAAGAAGCACTGAGGACCACTAGAGACAAAAAAGCTCCAGGACCGGACGGACTCCCCCCGGAAGCGGTCAAAGCGTTTCTTGGTACTAACGTGGAAACGGGACTAGGAGTTTTCAACGAAGCCCTTACTTCGGGGTTTTTCCCGAAAATATGGAAGAAGGCTAACTTAATCCTACTACCAAAAGGAGTTAAAGGAAACAAAAAAACTTTCCGCCCAATCTGCTTAATAGATGTTATGGGAAAAATCCTGGAGAAACTAATTCTGCACAGACTCATAGCTGAGATTTTCATTTCAGAAAACCAGTTTGGTTTTGTGAAGGGGAAATCGACAGTAATGGCGATCAAGAAAGTAGTGGATTTTGCAAACAGAGCATGGGAAAGGGGACGTCCATCTGGGATCGTGATGCTTGACGTGAAGAACGCATTTAACACCGCACCGTGGGAAGGAATAATTGAAGCACTTAGGAAAAAAGGCGTATCAACTTATTTGCTCAGAATCCTCCAAGATTATATCACGGAGCGTAATATCATAGTAGACTGAGAAGAAATCCAAACCTCGTGTGGAGTGCCCCAGGGTAGCTGTTTGTCGCCGTTCTTGTGGTTGGTCTACTATGATTTTGTGGTGGGGGGCGCCCTCCCGCAAAATAGTTTGTTGACTGCGTTTGCAGATGATGTCGCGGTCAGCGCCTAGGAAAAAACGATGTATGGACTTATCTGGAAATTACAGAGAGCAGTGGCTTACACCTTAAGAAGGATCTGGGAGCTCAGGCTGGAAACGGCGATAGAAAAAACGGAATTCTTAATTCTTAAGGCAAAGAAGGCAGATCGTAATGTAATGATAAAAGTGGACCAACTGGAAATCCAAGCTAAGGAACATGGCAAATACCTCGGTGTATGGCTGTCGGCGGGCTTGCATTTCAGAGAACATCTCAAAAGAACGTGCGAAAAAGTGAAAAGGGTTGCTGGAAACCCAACTAGGATCATGCCAAATAATGGAGGACCGTCTGCAAGGAAAAGGAAGATTATCGCTTCGGTGGCCATTTCCATACTCTCGTATGCAGCTCCGGTTTGGGCGGACATTGTCAGGACGAAGACTTATGCTGGCTGGGTGAGGAAAACCTTCAGACCAATCAAGATCAAAGTGACAAGGGCCTACAGAACTGTGTCAGATGAGGCGCTAGACGTGCTAGCGAAAATCCCTCCCTTGGATTTACTTCTGCTCCAACATAAGACCAGATTTGACACGCAAGATCCGAAGATGGCTGAAGAAATGATGTATGATGCCTGGAAAGATGGATGGTACTCAAACACGGGGAAAGCTGAATGGACTCGAAAACTGATCCCGGATCTTGATTTGTGGATGAGGAGTGAGTTTGCAGAAGTAAATTTCGCGACAACTCAGTTGCTGACTGGCCATGGCTCTTTTGCGGCTTATCTACATCGCTTTAAGATCAAAGATTCTGATCAATGCACTCAATGTAGCCAACGTGACTCGGCGGAACACACGATGTACAACTGTAACAGATGGACTGCAGAAAGGCGGGAACTTGAGGGGGTTATTGGTCCCATCCCGCCCCCGGAAGAGCTAATGGGTGTGCTACTGGAGAGCAAAGGAAACTGGCTAGCATTTGAGCGATTCGCGACACGTGTTATGTCATGCAAACGTAAAGATGGACAATGAGATGGATAATGGATAACGGATGCCTCTAGTGGGCCAGAAACCCTCGGGTCTCTGGCCCTGTTTACCGCAAGCTATCCAATTGGGGATATCGGGTTCGACGCACCCGCGGAGCTGAGTCATGTGTAGGCTGCCCCCTTCTGGGGCCGCATAAGATCGGGTGCCTCGAGGGCTGAGCGAGACGTAGCTGGTCTGCCCTCCCTGCCCTCCAGTTCTCGGCTCCAGAGCCCTGCCGTGGGGTTGTCGCAGGGTTTGGCGCAAGCTGGGCCTAGGCTCTCCTCCTACGCCCTTGACTCCAGATACAATGATGGCTTCGGCAGATCGGTCCCGGGGGATGGGGGGACCCTCCCTTTAAGTGGGGGGGCCTGAGGGGCGCCGGCTAAACCGGGGCCGGGGTCGGGGACTGCCGTTCGAAGAGTGCCTTAGGGACGTCCGACGGGAGGATAGAGCGTCCGATGGGCCACACTTGCACGGGGTGTGGCCTGGAGGGGTCGTTTAGTGGGTACGGAACACAGAGGCGTGCTTCACCCCCACATAACCGGGTCTTCCCATCTCACAGCGGTCGGGTCGGTTAGGGGTCGCCTCGGCGGCTCTTCACCAGCTGATGGTCGTTGCCGTCCCGGTATTCGGTGGGCCCTTTTCATGAGGGGCGTCTTGGCGACCCTCATGATGGGGGCACTGTAGCGAATTTTTCCCCTCATTACAAAAAAAAAAAAAAAAAAAAAAAAAAAAAAAAAAAATTTTTGTTTTTGACGAATAAAGAAACAAAAAAATTTTGAAGTCAAAAGGACGCGTTTTTCAATGACTGATTAATGAAACATTGCAGTAAAACAACGAATGATGATAATCAGGTCTAAGTGGCTGAGGAGTCAGGAATCGAACTTGCATCTTGAAACGTGTGGGCGCTTCCGACGTCTTAGACGACTCTGTCACTGCTCATCTTGAAGTTTCCGGGGCGAATCTTGTGTTGATAAATAGAGCTAATGCGCAGACTACTCAGCCACTGTGCAACCTTCTGCGCATAGCGGGAGCAGTTGCGGAGCATTCTGTAAATTCGCTCACTTTTATAACTTGATTGTATGAAATTTTGGGTCCTATTTCCAAAATCTGATGAGAGGGGGCTTATCTAGGGACTATCACCTGTCAATAAGCGTAAAAATCATGGAAATCGGCCCAGTAGAACGCTCGAACAAACTATGACAAAAAACATAAATTTACATGGTTTAAATGGGTAAATTCACAACTTTACCACGTATAATAAAAAATCGTGGATCGTATTTTGAAAATTTGAATAAAGCGGACTCATCTAGAGACAATGGCCCGTCGATAGCCGCAAAAATCATGAAAATGGGCCCGGTAGAACGCTGGAACTAAGCGTTACCAGTTATGCAAAATTAGTAGGTCTCGGAGCTTGTAGTATAGATACTTTTACCAAAAAATACATTGGCAAAACGAAGAGGCTTATAACATGCCGTTTTAAAGAACATACAAAGTTGAAATCCCCAAATGTGTTTATGCATATCAAAGATGAAATTCACGTAATTAATGACAGCGATGTTAAAATGTCACACTTTAATGACAGAAAATTATCATCAGTTATAGAAAAGTTTGAAATTGTCAAGGTAGTTAAATGGAATTATAGTTTACTAAAAGCCCAAACGGAAATAAATTTGGCAACAAACCAATTGTATGTAAGATGTGCTGAACTCAGTGATTAATCCTTGAAACATCTGATTTATATTTATATTCTTACCTAGTCAAAAAGTGCATATCAAAGTTATTGATTGTTAATTGAAAAAAAAGTATTTAAATTTTGTTTTCTCAATACAAAGATGGCAATTGTGCCGAAAAACTTTGACCAAAAATTATATAAATGAATCATTTTATGTAATTAAACACTTGCACATTTTCCAGCACTTTGGCTACACACCTACCTAACAAGTTCAAGTGACTGCTACTTCCAATATATTACAAATTAACAACAATTGAGAAGCTTCCCGAAAAAAGGGCACATAGCTAAAAATAGCGTTTGAGAAAAATGCATTTTAAGTTTCCATCATTAATTTCTCATTAATTTCTGCGGTACTTTTCATCGCAGCCTGGACTCCCGATTTCGAATGAAAGTCACTGTCAGTGACCATAGAGTAATGATCAAAACTTCAAATGCATTTCTCTCAAACGCAATTTTTTGCTATGTGCCCCTTTTCCGGAAAGCTCCTCAATTTTATGTTTGCTTCATAGGTCCGATTCATTTTTTACATCAATTCTCTGTTTATCAAGGTTTAAGTCATGTTTCAATGCTCTTTAGAAATGTGATACACATAATGGGCTATCTCCATCAGTCAGTTAAATTGGACCAGTTTGGCATCTTTCCATCAGATTTTATTATTTTTCAGCTAACTTCGTCACGTTTGAACAAGTATATTATGAGCTATCTTAAATGGGTCAGTCTAGTAATTTTTTTTAATCGCATCATTCAAAAGTATTAAGTGAACTAAACCTACTGTTTTTCCGCTATCTTTTTTTAGTAACAACAACCAGGAGGAAAGTTCACGCGAATGTGCACAAAATCAGGGTAGCCAAAACCAGGGCTTAAACTGCGAGCTTGTTTGTCTTGAATTTAAGTGTCAAGACTGGAAGTGAAAGGATACACAATGGCGTCGTTGTGTGTTGTTGTTCAGCAGGAGGTTATAGGCAAAGCTGTACGGTTTTGCGAATTTCAGTTGTCAGCTAATGTGCTTATCAGATTTCTCCAACGCCGCATTTGTCAAGATCCTTTCTCTCTGAATGTTTTAACATTATCAAAACATCATAAAACTGACCTTATCTTGAACGAAATTTCACCAATGATTCAAACAGCAGCCTGGTGGTTGTTGGTAAGTAAGAGTCGCTGCTGCCATTCCTTCATCTATGAAGCATAAATTGGAATTTTGATTGTAGTAAGGAATGGGATGGCTGAAGTGTGTTTTGGAGGGCACCTTAAGAGGAAGTATTTTTTCTCTGCAGAGATGATTTTTTGTTCTATTTAATCATGCTCATTGATTTTATCGTACCAGATACTGTGGAAAATAACTAAGTAGAGGCCGAATCCTCCCAAGTATCTTGGACCCATTTTCTCTCAACTTCGGTCATTCTGCTGAATTTTCATAAAGTTCGTTTAAACTTTCTTCTTGACTCATTTAACTTTTTTCTACTTATTTCAGATACTCACCTCTTACTCAGAAAATTAGTGTTACGGACAGCCCTATTTCTAACATTGATTTTTCACAGTTGAAAGCAGTATTACAGGGCTCCATCAAGTGCTTGGAGAACAAATGTCCTTTGATTAGGATTCTACTTACATCGAATAGTGTACCGTCTCTCCAGCGCACCACCATCGCAGAAGGTAAGTAATAAACCTGAAAATTTATGTTTTTCCCTCTTTCAATAATACTATATTTTTCAGTGAGGAGAGTATTTCTTTCCTCTGTTAGCTCCAATGTATATTTATCCTGTTGCCTTTCTTTTCCAATCTTTATATTATAACAGCTTAAAATTATGATCTTCTGCATTATAATAGTAGGGTGGCCCTTATTTTCAACTTTTCGGAAATTTAAAGTGCGGAACCCTGCAAATGGTTCCTTTTGGTGAGGAAATAACGGAAATAAAGATAAAATAGTCGGCCGGCCGGAATAGGCACCCTCACCCACTCCTCTCATCACTTCATGCGTGCATCCCTATTCATCAACACCCAGGACGAATTTATTGTACCCAGTGAAGTGAAAGTTTCACTAGTTTTGTTGAACGTTGCTGCTTGTCGCAGGAAATATCTTTATATAATTCATTAAGCACCACATTCCCAAGAAATTTAATGAACATAACGATGACAATGACCTTAAACCAGAACTAAACAGAATGAGTAATTCCCAAGCTCTTAGGCTATTATATTATAATAGCCTAAGAGCTTGGGAATTACGCAGGAAATATCTTTATATAATTCATTAAGCACCACATTCCCAAGAAATTTAATGAACATAATGATGACAATGACCTTAAACCAGAACTAAACAGAATGAGTAATTCCCAAGCTCTTAGGCTATTAATAGCCTAAGAGCTTGGGAAGTACTCATTCTGTTTAGTTCTGGTTTAAGGTCATTGTCATCGTTATGTTCATTAAATTTCTTGGGAATGTGGTGCTGAATGAATTATATAAAGATATTTCCTGCGACAAGCAGCAACGTTCAACAAAACTAGTGAAACTTTCACTTCACTGGGTACAATAAATTCGTCCTGGGTGTTGATGAATAGGGATGCACGCATGGAGTGATGAGAGGAGTGGGTGAGGGTGCCTATTCCGGCCGGCCGACTATTTTATCTTTAGTCTCTGTGGCCATTTTTTCAAACATCCTCTGCTTTGAGTATTTGAGCAAATTAAAATCAAAAGACATAATCTACACTTGACATGAAAAATTGATATCAAACTGTTCATTATAAAACGGTGTACCCATTGTTATTTCAAATCATCAAATTTACAATCTATAATTATCAATCATCATACTATAAATACAATAAAAAATTTATATCATTCAATGTTTTCCACGTAACAGTTGTAGTTCGTGTTCTTTTTTTTTCATAATTTTCATACTTCCTATGTAAAGGAACTTTGGAGCAAAGTGCCTCCTGTAATTGGGCCGCGGAGCAGTCAGGAGACGCAACCTCCTAGTTTTTCATAACACTCCTAGAATTAATCTTACCCTGTCATTACAGCAGTGTATTTTGTCGTAATCTTTTTGATGCAAGTATTTTTTCCATAAGATTTCAATCCAAAATGAAGCTGCTTTCAAGATATTCTCATTTCTAAGAAGATCTTTGAATGTGTTTAGACGGCCACTACAAGTTTGATGATTTAATCTTCGGAGAGTACACCGTGTCCGTGGAGTTGAATCAATTTGATTGGTGTTGGGAAAGCCCAATTCTGGCCTTATCAGTGACGAGTGAAATTGCGACTGCACCAACATTTGTACACACAGGGATGAAGATCACCGTTATTGCCTCTCATGATATTCAAGTAACAAAATTTCCGATTTCAACTTTCATTCCTTTTCCCATCTTTCCGAATCAAACCTGTCACTTAAGAGAAGTCCTCTGCCGAAAAGCATGTAGATCAAGCAGAAAACAGAAAATTGTCTGAATTGCACTTGCAAAGAAGTATTGTTTTGAATGCTTGAGAATGTGAAAATTTCTATGTTTTTGTATTCTATCCATGCATGAGTCTCCTTTTAATTTATCATTAGTATAACTTTCCCGACCCTCTAAATTTTTCATGGTTTGTCACAGGTTGCTCTACCTACCATTCTTTTGGGCTGAATTCCATTCTTTTGTCGGCTATGGGTAGGTGATAGTCCCTAGATGACCCCGTTTTATTCAAATTGAGAAATTTTACCTGGGGTTTTGTACTATCGACGAATTTAGTTTCCCGCAGAATCTCTGGTGACTTCTCAGCGACGGCGCAGCGCGTTGCCTAATAATGCTCTTATGAAAAGGCACTCGTTCCTCTGTGAGCGCGTAGTCACAAGCATAGTGAGGCGGATTGGTATAACAATCGTGCATTATTGGATAAAAGCATGAAACGTTCAGGAAATCTTCTACACCCATGAAGAAACGAATTTAGCCTGGGTGCCCAATTTTATGGGGTCCCTGGGGAGGGGGGGACCCTCTAATCATAAAATCCAGGTTTCCTGTATGAATTTCTGTGCACAAGTGGATAAAACTAACGGAGTTTGCGGAACTTACCACTTTAAGGCCACCTCAATACATACTGGAATGATTTCACCCACTAATCACCCAATTTTGACCAAAAAAGCGTCGGGGGGGGACCCTGAGATTTACAGCCCGTGATTTCCTTGTGAACTATGAATGCGTGATTAAGGCTGATAGCAACTGAATCCATTGAACCTAATAATTTTACATTACAGAACTATTTCAAGGGTGATAAAAAAACTCGTCATGGTGGGGAAGGGGGGAGGCAGAAAGGGAACCGTATCTACACACTGTGCCAAGGCGGCGCGGCATGCAAGATTCTCCTAATATAATGTCTATGTTGTGCCGCATTTTTTATACCGTATTTTCGATCGTTGCGCTTATCTTATGCTCAGTGACAAAGAGGGGTTGGGCGCCAATTTTCAACCCCTTCTATTATAATACTAGGGGGCATATGCCCCCTTGCCGCTAAGCGGCCCAACCCCTGGAGGACGCTTCGCGCTCTCTTAGGCCCACGTCGACAATAGAACGACCAAAAAAAATGGAAAGGTTTTCATACCTGACTCTCATTTTTCCTATCTCCCTCCGGCCGGGTGCGATTGGACCAGTAAGAATCGAATAAAAAAATCGGCATTTATTTCAAACTTCTTGCCACGACTGAAACGGAACAGAACGGAGCGTTTCGTCGCTTTTTGACAGTCTGTAGCAAAGGAGCATACCTTCAATTCACTCACCCTACCATAACAGACCAAGATTCACTATTTCCCGCTTAGTTCAATTTCCCGCTTTTGAAATTCCTGCCATTATTCATTGGGGGCTGTTTACAAATTATGTACAGCACTTTTACCTATTATTCCGACCCTTTCTCCCCCTTCCCCCGTGAGGCATTAGTTAGGCTAGCCTGGACCGCCTCCTCCCCCCCTAAATAGTTACGTAAGGCTGGACAACCCCCCCCCCTTCTATCTTCTATTGGCTAAATGCATAATTTAATGAAAAAATGGTTGAACGAGACTAAGAGGGGGAGAAGGGCTCAGTCAAGATGACGGAAAAGGGAGGGAAGTCGAGGGACCACTTTCATAAATGAAGGAATGAGAGAGGGGGGCTAACTTGGGGGGGGGGGTGCACCATACGCCCTATGGGCTTTTTGGAGCTTCCTTAGACCACGTACTCCTGGTATCAGGAATAAGATTGACGCTTGCTCGGAAACTTTCAAGGATCAGCTAATTATCGTGGTTCCAGAATGTTCCACGCACTGACAACATATTGAATTTCGCTGATTATTCATTCACATTACACTGGATTTTTGGAAAAATATCACGCACTTTAAGATCGATTCTTTCTTAGGTGTCCAATACAAAACAATCACATAATTTTTGTCATTTTTCAGCGAAAAAACTTGTTAATTCGGGAGCCAAACAGACGCGTGCAAAACGTAAACATAACCTTAATCAAAAGGTAGGGCATCAGGTGGGATTGTCATCCTGGTGAAAAATAGTATATATTCGAAACAAATGAAGATAGAAATTCTTGTTAAGTCAGTTATGTGGATATTCATTAAAATACAGAATAGGTGTGATAGCTTCATATTTGGTGCGGTCTATATGAGGCCCTTCAGAGACGATAGTGTGTGTGTCGACTTATGTAGTATAATGATTAATGATTTAGCGGGATGATACTTGGATGCACACACTTTCATTGCCGGGAACTTAAATGCCAGAGTCTAGATAATGTATTAATTAATCACCAGAGTATTCAAATATAACTTATAAAATTAAAGAAAAAAAACAGATTTAATATAATCCTTAGTCTTTAAATAAATCAGCAGATGTTAATCATAGAACTATAACCTATCATTTTTTGGATGATACCGTTATTTAACCCTATTAGACCTCCAAAAACTGTTGAAGTATCAGTAGCGAACTGTTTAATCAGCTTAATCTTCAGGATGAGGTTTTTTCAAGCGGAACAACTTTTACTACTAAGAGAGAAACCTAGGATGACAAGGAAAACAAACGTGGAAAACTGATCACAGAAACCATGAAATCGTCAGGTATGCTTCTAGCAAATGGTAGATCAAAATCAGATTCACCTGCTCATTATACATACATAGGCGAAAACGGGAAAAGTATAATTGATTTAGCCTGTATCAAGTCACAATCGGCAAATCTTCTCCATGACTTCGAAGTAATTAACGATTTTCATGTGTCTTATCATTTGCCTGGCAGGTTGACTCTTAACTCTGATCTTCCTCCAAGGGGACTTAAAAGTACGTATGTCGCAGGCAATTAATCAAATCAGGCATTCTATCAAATGTGTATGCAAGTGTTCAAATTTTGACAGTTTACGAGGGCTGTCCCAAAAGAAACCGGACTTTAGTCATAGAAGGCGAACCGAGCGTCGTAATGAAGTTTTCTTGAGCTTGTTTGAAAGCTGATAAGCTACTGGAGATGCTTGTTTTTACAGAATGCAAAAATTCGTCTTGGTAAGGAAACTACACGCTTTGGAGTAAAGGAAAGTCAAACTCGAGTTGCGATTTTTGTCTTTATTTCAAGAAAAATTTGGATACAACTTAAAAATAAACCCAGGTTTTGAGTTAAAAACTTCGTTGCTCTCTTATTCAAATGCTTAAAAATAAGGAAATTAACATTTTAAGCAGATTACCAAGTCATCACCTATCCCCTTCAAAATACTCGCCAGCTTTGTTGATGCATTTTTGCCACCGTTTCTTCAATTGGAAGAAAAACTGTTGGAAATCCTCAGGTTTGAATGTTCGCAATTCTTTCAAGGTGTTCTCTTGAATTTCCGGAATGGTTTGAAAATGTCGACCTTTCAAGATAGATTTAAGTCGTGGAAATAAGAAAAAATCACACGGAGCCAATTCCTGGTTTCTGCATCACGATAATGCACCTGCCCATGCATCCCTCCAAATTCGCGAATTTTGTGCAAAGAATGCCATGAGTGTTCTCCCTCATCCCCCTTATTCACCTGACCTGGCTTCGTGTAATTTTTTCTTATTTCCGCGACTTAAATCTACCTGGAAAGGTCGACGTTTTCAAACCGTTCCGGAAATTCAAGAGAACACCTTGAAGGAATTGCGATCATTCAAACCTGAGGATTTCCAACAGTTTTTCTTCCAATTGAAGAAACGGTGGCAAAAATGCATCAACAAAGCTGGCGAGTATTTTGAAGGGGATAGGTGATGACTTGGTAATCTGCTTAAAATGTTAATTTCCTTATTTTTAAGCATTTGAATAAGAGAGCAACGAAGTTTTTAACTTAAAACCTGGGTTTATTTTTAAGTTGTATCCAAATTTTTCTTGAAATAAAGACAAAAATCGCAACTCGAGTTTGACTTTCCTTTACTCCAAAGCGTGTAGTTTCCTTACCAAGACGAATTTTTGCATTCTGTAAAAACAAGCATCTCCAGTAGCTTATCAGCTTTCAAACAAGCCCAAGAAAACTTCATTACGACGCTCGGTTCGCCTTCTATGACAAAAGTCCGGTTTCTTTTGGGACAGCCCTCGTATGAATTTGTTTAAAAAAAAAACCCTCAAAAAGGGTAAAAATTCCGCCAAACCTATGAGATCTTATCACAAAATTAGTTGGTATGTATCTAAAAAAATTTTAAAAAGGGGGAGGGGGGGGAGTAGTAATCTCTTGAAAATTACAAAAGGAGACAAGAAAAGTAGCTCAAACTCTGTTTTCCATTTCAAACCTCAAAATGTCTGATATCATTTGAGGTCAAGATTTTTTAAATATAGGTACGCCCCAGAACTACAACGAGCAAGTGGACAGTTAATTCGGCTGAGAGTCCCCTTTAGTAAGTCTCCGATGCAACCAGCTTACCTTTGAAGCTAGATTAGTTGTCTGGGTCACTAATACAAGGAAGGATAATTGGATTTGTTTCCTACGAGAAGATGACGAGGGATAAAACAAGCAGTTCTTTTTTCACTCTCCAACCTCAAAATATTTGATATCTTTTGAAGTCAAGATTCTTCACCATCTCCTCATCTCACTTTCATTTTCGTTTTGCATTTTAGGAAACAAATTCCACTCTTATGCATCAATGAACTTTATTTAATTTTTCGCTAATTATTCCCCTTCATTTCAGGTAGCCGAAACTCTTCTTACCTACAATAGCTATGTAAGGAACCATTGTATAATACTTCCGAGACCTCCCTCGTTTAGATCAAGAATAGAATAAATATTTTCAATTCAGATTCTGGCACACTCTTTGAAAATTAAAAAAAAAAAGTCAGGTAGATGAAGGTAGAATTTCTAAAAAGAGCAAAAAAAAATAGCTGAAGA